TTACCAGATTACTCTCACAAGGCAAACTCCTTTAAAAGTTTTCAATAGCACCTTATTAGTGATCAAATTTAGCCTAACTTCTTAGCCAGACATTCAGAGGCCTTCATAATCTGTCCCCAGTCTATTTGTGTAGCCCTACTTCCTTCATAGATTTTAGAAATATCTGTTTAACCCCATACTTTGTGCCATACTGGCCTAGGTACTGGAAATACAGCCATGAATGAAACCAAATCCCCAGGTCACATGGAACTCACATTCTAGAGAGGAGAGTCAGATGATGAGGCAAACAAACAAGCACATGTGTCAGATCATAAGTGCTTATAGAAAAATAAAGCAGGGTAAGAGGGTAGATGGTGCTGGGAGTGGCATTTTTGATAGGATGGTCAGGAAGACTTCTAAGTCCTTAAAGTGGTTCCGGAACTTGCTTGGCAAGCTGGAGAAACAGCAAAGGAGCCAGTGTGGAGGAGCAGAGTGAACGAGGAGGAAGACAGGAGATGAGGTCAGAGAGGTGGCCGGGGCCAGGTCACACAGGGCCATGTAGACTGTGGTCTGCACTTAGGATTGTATTCTGCATGAGGTGAAAGGCGTTGGAAGGTTCTGAGTAGCAGAATGACATGTTTTTAAAAACATTATACTGACAGCTATGTTGGAGAATAGATGAGGGTGGGGAGATGAGAGTAGAAACTGCGGTACCAGTTGGGAGGCTATTGCAACAGTCTAGGCAAGGCGATGAGATGAGAGTTGCTGGAAAAGTTGAGCAACTGTCAAATTCTGGTTCTGTTTTGAAGGTGATGCCAACAACATTTGCTGATGCATTGGATGTGAAGTGTGAGAGGAAGAAAAGAGTCAAGGATGACTCAGAAGCAACTGAAAAAACGCAACTGCCATTAACTAAGCTTTATAGGAAGACTGTGGGATGGAAGTCTATCGGAGGAGGGAAGTTCAGTTTTTGGTGCGTTAAGTTTGAGGTGACTATTAGACATCCAAGTGAAGATGTCAAGTTGTCAGTTGGATATTTGAGTCTAGAATTCAAGAGACAGATCTGGGCTAGAAATGAATTTGGAAAGTGTTCGCGTCTAGAAGGTATTCGTGTTCAGAGATCAGGAGAGGCCACTTAGAGTGGAGAGAGAGGCCAGTGGACTGAGGCTGGGTCATTTAGTAGAAGTTGGAAATGTGAAGAGGGCTCAGCAAGGGAGACTGAAACAGAACAGCCCATAGGTAGGAGGAAAGAAAACCAAGAGACTGTGGTAGCCCGGAAGCCAAATGCAAAAAGGGCTCACTGAGGAGGCAGTAGTCTATGACTTGTTTGGAATCTATCATGTGGGTATGTGCATGGACTGGTCAGTGTGTAAACAAACAGAAATTGTCACAGATTGATAATTGCTTTGTCTGTGTAAATAGGAGTTGATTTTATTATATTCTTTAATTTTGTATATGTTTGAAATTTTCTGTTAAAAGAAGTAAAAAAAAAAAAAAAAAGAAGTGAGAAACTATGTCAAATACTGCTGACAGATCAACAGGGAGTGTGGATTTGCCCCTGTTGAGGGCACTGGTGGTAGTGACAAGAACGGTCTCCGTGGAAATGACAGCCTGTGGCAGTGGGTTCAAGAGAGACTAGTAGGGAAGGATGGGGGCTGAATGAGTGCAATCAACTCATTCGAGGAATTTTGCAGGAAACAGGAACAAAGAAATGGGTCAGCAGCTAGAGGGAGACCAAGGGGCCGAGGGCGGTTGGTTGGTTGGTTTTAAGATGCAATGATTACAGCTCTATTTCCCACCATTCTCCTTCATACAACTCTGGACAAACCCCTCTGTGTACCCTGCCCCATTCACCTCACCCATCCGGCAAAGGGAACAAACACCTCCCACCTCCTGCACCACACCAATTGCAGGTGATGTCTCTAGGCGTTCCGTTTCTATCTACATACAACATTTTCAAGAATTTTGTTTAATAGGAGAGCTCTGGTTGTGGTGTTGTTCAATTGGGGTCTCTGCAGACTCTTCTTCAATGTGTATCAAAGCACACTGTGTTTATACTATAGGAAAAAACTACACAGTATTCCCCTGACAGCTTTCAGAAGGGAAGCAGAACTTCTACAGAAACTGTAAAGTTTCTTATTCCTTTAGATCCTGAAAGATAGTATTCGGTAGGAGCAACAAGAATAATATCTTTCACTTGCCTTTCCCACTCGAAAAGACAAGGCTAGAAGAAACAATTCATACTAAGGAATCGTGGACCTGAATTTATTTTTAAAACTAACTGAAAAACCTCAGCAGTTACTAAAAAGTTTTGTCTTTGAGAACATTAGAAATTAGGTGAGAACAGGTAGGCAGGGAGAAGGCGCCTTCTAGCTTAAGAAATGGTAAGTTCAGTGAAACTGCACTAAAAAATAAGACTTGATTGAAAACACTACTTTCCTCACACTTCCCTCGAAGCGTATCAGAGCAAGAAGACCAGGGCACTTTCTTAAGATCCTTCCTGCTGAGAAGTTTCCCTCAGAAGCACTCATTTTCAGTGCAAAAGGCAAGAACAGACAAGACACTTCTAATCAGGATTAAACACAAGATGCATCAGAGAAGAAATTCTTCTCTGAAGAAATTCTTAAGAAACAAGAGATGTTATCAGTGCTTCTATTATGCTATGGTGAGATGGCTAGGGTGACAGGGAATTATGTTCAGTGGCTAAACTGAGGAGGACAACAACACAAAAGGGCATTTGAACCTCTTGCCCTAATTACTACTGAGTTCTTACTACCATCGAGCTCTGTGATATGGGTCACAGAGATGACACAGTCCCTCTGCCACATCTAGAGCCCTTTGTCTTGAAGAGAGACCAAGGAAGACTACTGTAACACAGTGTGAGGTTTAGGAGGCTGTTTGGGGGAGGGTGGCTTCCTTGATCCTGAGATTAAGGGAGGTTGGGGCTTTCTGGCAGAAGCAGCAGCAGCACCATGTGCAAAGGTTCCTGGGCTTAGAGAGGATGCCATTCTGGGAAAAACAAGGAGTCACACCACTGTATCACAGAGCAGGTACAAAATCCAACCTGGACAGACAGTCTAAGGCCAGAACACAAAGGAGCTCTTAATGGGTGGAGCAGGGGTTGGGGAGAATAACAGGAGCAGGTTTGAAGTTTTAAAAGATCACTCTGGTGGCAGTAATTTAAAGGAAAAGTAGACTGCATACCAAGTTCAAAGATGTAGAAACTAGTGACTTTCTGTTGCCCTGATTTGTTGTCAAAGCCACATTCTGATTTTCTGTGCTGTATTCGGCTAAGCTTATTTCTGCACCTCAAACAGCTGAGGGTTTCATTCTATTTGAGTATTTTTAAACATTTGGGTAATTGCATTTTTCACCTATACTATACCTTATATCATAAGGGCATAATATAATCAACCCCTATAATCAACCATTGTGAAGTAATTTACTACAGTCAACTATGGTTATGAAAATGACCTTTACCTATGAAACCAAGAGCTGCTGCTTTTTTGAGGGTTTCCATGCTCCCCTCCCTACCTACAAACCCCTGAATGGAATCTCACCTAAGCAATGATCCCAACACCAGTCCCTGAAAACATTTTCACCAGTTTGGAATGAAATACAGAAGTGAAGGACAATGTAGTGAATCTTTCATAAATCAAAATGTATTCTACATAAAGGCCAATTTTTCCAAAATATATCCCACTTCCTGTTTGGGTGTTAAGAGTTCCTTAATTTTATTAAACAATAGTAAAACAAATTTTTTAATGCCCTTACATGGCAAAATAGTTGGCAACTCCAGATCCATACACTGGTTTTTTGAAATGTGAAATCTAGAAGACTGGGTGGCCCCTGCTTTGAGTCCCCTCTACCACTAGCTTATTATGCACAGTGGTCACTGTTACCCGTCAGGTGAGGGGAGGGGCACTCTGCATTAACCAAGGCTGACCATGACCTGCTAAAGTGTCAGGGTTAACAGCTAACTATGAAATTATCAGTAAAATGGTGGCCCAGTGGGTAATTTAATCACCTTGTCTTAGGAATTTACTATCTTAATGAGGACATGAGACTTCCCTTCATGGCTGCTGAGTCATTCACATTTAAATATTGTTGAATAACTAGTTTACATAGGTCCTAAAAATGTATTTACTTCCTTGATCCCAACTTGACCTCCTGATATTGGAGAAAGGTGCTTGAAGTCTACTGCCCTGTTAGCACCAAAGAAATGACTTAAATAGTTTGGGGCCCCTGGCATGGAAGCAGTCCTCCACGCAGGGAATGTACCGAAGCCTGCAGGAGACTGTTGTGCAAAAATTTAGGTGCTAGAGCAGAAAGACCTATGTTTGGGTCTCAGCTCACAACTTAGTCTCACATTCCTTATCTAAAAAGCGAGGTAAGTAACAGTACCCATTAGGATAGAGCAGTTGTGTTTATGACAGTCTTGATGCTTGGTGAATATTCAGTAATGGTAATACTGCTACTATTGTGAATATGGGAGATTTACAAAGTACTGGCTTCTACACAAGACTCATGGTTAGGCCTGGAAAGGTTCTTTTTGATCATCTTGTCCAATCTTACCTTTTTACAGACAGGTAAGATGGGGAAGGGAGAGAATACAGAGCCAACGGGAGTCTAAGCCTGGACCTGGTAGTTCATTACTTCACTGTTTCAGAATATTTATTGCTGAGTATTATTAAAAATTTAAATGCATTAAAAATAACGTAGCAGAATATCTACTCATACAGTAGGCTGCTGAGATAGATGAGCAGAAATATTAAAAATATGTGCCTTCCCCTATTTCTCTACACTTCAAAAATTAAAAGCCTCAAACTACACCCCCCCCATGTCAATCAAATTTCTCAGTTTCTCAGAAAGAAAAATAGAGGATTTACAAGTCTTTAATCTCTGGAGTGTAACAAAAGCAATGGATTATACTGGGTGTGGCTGCCAGAAACAGGACCTGATGCCAGCAATAGAAGAGACACAAAAGCATCACCAGTGAAACAAAGTAGATACTCTTCTGTTATTTTAAATCAGCAGTTTTATTACAATATGCACTAACACACAATTAAAGAAGGAATGTCCTGACATTTTCTGAGCATTTCACGGAAAGCAAATGTAACCATCCAGGCAAGTAGAGTCATCTACACCTTTTCCTAACAAAAAGCAAAAGCTTTTACATGTGATACTGAAAAAATCAAAGTTTTCTTATTCTTATCTAAAAAACTTCAGCCTCGGAAAATAGCTATTGTGAAGTGAGCTGAAAAGAGAAGTATTTCCTTCCTGATATCCAAAATCCTGCCTCTGTATTTCTCCCCCAGCCTTCTAAATGACTTTTTATGATACTCCAGATGGTCATGTGTTCAGGGGCTAAACAGGATCTACTTATAAGGCCAACTAGTATACTTCACTATAATTGAAAGGAAAGGATAAATTAAGAAAATTAAGTCCTGCTAAAATGCACAATGACAAAGAGAAAATATCTGGGCATATTAAAAATGAGATGCTCTTTTCACATAACTCTTTTAAAAGGTTACAATTACCATAAACACTTTAACTCCATTAAAAATCACTGGCAAAGCTTGTTTTTGTATCTGCAAAAGGGCTCTGCCTTTACCCATGCTCGGAGGAAAGCAACATACCGTGTGAAGAGTCACTAGTCCTGGACAAACAGGCATCAGACTATTTGGAGTTGCATAGGCATTTTTTTAAAGATCCATTTTGTAAAAGACACTATGGAGCCTTGAGAATTTTCCCTCTTTCAATAGTCATTGTGGCAGTCAGGTGTTTTAATCCCTTTAGTGCCCAAACGACAAAAGTACTCTAGGAAAAAACATCAAAATGGCATTTTGGATAAATTCACTATCCATTACATAACTTGGGAACAACAAAGAAAAAAGCCCAAGCATGACTCTGGTATTTTATATAGAAAAGCACTGTAGGAGAAAACTTTGTCTAAAAACATTTAAAACTCAGGTGAATATAAATACATTTTTGGTTAATCTGTGCTGTGTCATATAGAAATCCCGTCAGATATTCAGTCTACCAGGTAACTCATTTGGATTTTCATGTCTGACTGTATCAGTAGAAGAATATATACTGTTGCATAAACTTACATATATATGCATCTACATATATAAAATTCAGATCATGAAAATTTATTTCAAATACCTAAAAATAAATACATTAGCCTCTAATCAGCTAATTCTGAGAGTTCCTTCACAAACCAATCAGACATAGTTTCTCAGAAATGGCAGATGACCAATTAGCTGCCCTTCAAATCCATTATCTATCAATAAACATTTTAAAATTCAGATGTCTAACAGAAACAACATCCCCAGAATAGAACAGAGATAGAATTCTGGCTTTGAAAATAAATGTCTTGATTTTCTTGATGTTTAGTTCCTACAAATGTCTATGCTTTGCCTCTGCATTTATCTAGCAGTGGGAGAGCATTTTCTAGTGACAGCATTCTATTCCATTGACATTACCTTCTAATCAAAGGAGTCAGCTGGCATTTCCTTTGCCGTTTTGTTTCAGGGAACTAACACAACATTGTTTGTATTTGATATCATTCCCATAGATCACAGTGAGTTGTGTCTTTTAATATAATTTACAATGTGCTGATACCACTGAGGTAAAGCAGAAGTAGCCTTGGCATTTGAAAAAAAGAAAAGTCTCCCAGGAAAACAACACATAAAAAACCTGGTGGTGTATATCCAAGTTCCATGAAGTAACTCAAAACCTCTGCCAGTATGGACACATTGAACATCTGATAACATAATTTAAACAACAGAAACAGATGAAAATACTCAAAGTATGTCCTTTAGGAACGATGCAATTCACAAAAATGGAGCTTTACTTTATTACTTTTACATTTTCAAAAAAAAAAAAAAATCCTCCTTAAAATGATATAAACCAGACCAAGTTGTTTAATATATTACAATCCTTAACAAACTTGTCATTTGTTTTTGAATACAGGAATCTCAGAAATGTTGGAAATCCATGATAAATGATAGCAAGAATGTTTAATGCCATTGCCTAAACTTTTTAAAAGGAAAAACTGCCATAGTTGAAACACAACTTCTAAAAAATACAGTGTTTTATGTGCTCACAGTTCCAGATTGCTAATTTTATAAATTAAATGCGAAAGTTATCCATATATAAACAAGGCCTCTTTTTCATTGATTTCAATCTTGTTTAAACCTTTGGATATTTCAATCTTCAGATTCCACAAGGTAAGGCTGAGTTTATCAGATATAAATAAAATGTTTAAGTCCATGATGTATTGCAGCACTGAGGAAACAAACGCATCAGTATTTACAGGCTGGCTACAATACCTTTCTTTTCTTAAAAAAATTCAAATGTGTATCAACATCAAGTCACACTCACTTTTGAATTTCTCTGGCTACAAAAATCAGGCAACAGCATTTTTTCTCGTTCATTTTTCCTCTTAACTCTGAAGTGAGAGGCAGGTCTTAGGTTGAAGGACGCGGTCTTTTGGGAGGTGGTGGTGGCATGAGCTCCGTGTCAGGGTCCAGATGATGCTTTCGCTTCTGTCCTTGAGAAGCTGCAGCACATCTGTCGATGAACTCAAACAGCATCTCCTTGGTGACAGGGTTTGAGATGCTATTGCACACAGCTGTGGACAAAGGGAGATGTGTCTCACGTGAAGGTTAATTAAGGCAGCTGACTTGCCACAGGCTTCTGGAAAAGGTTTTCATCCCAACATGCTAAATACTTACATTTTACCAATTTGAGTGACATGCTTCAGATTATACTAATCTCCTTCCTCACCCACAACCAAAATAAGTGCTTACCTATTGGCTATCCTTTATTGGAGTATTAATTTTAAACTAAAACTTTTAAGGTATTTGAGTTATAAGCTTAAGTATTTGAGTTCACTATGGTTTCCTATCCCTCCAAAATAGTCTTTGTGAGATTTTAATGTAGCACAGTGCATTGCATTACAGTCCATATTCAATTAAAACTTCTACAGAAAATGTGCCCTATAATTCTTCAATCTCTCAGAAAGAAGTTCACTCTGTGAAACATATATCATAGCACCAGCCACCATTCCTAATGAATAGGGAGGTTTCATTGAAGCTGGCGGATCATATTACTTTATCTTTTTTTTAAGTGGTCAAAATTTAGTACCAGTCCTTTTAATTTCATTTACCTATGGTTTTGGAAGAATAGACACTGGCTTAATCATTCCTACTTTTGAAATTAATCTTGTCTGAACACAGACAGTTCCAACAAAACCCCTAAATGCACAAGAGTAACTTTTAAACTGCAAAACCTAAACTGGCAATTTCTAGATTTTCTTATAAGCTTATCAGATATAGTCATCATCATCACTGACTGAACACTTTAAAAGTACACAATTCTATTAACCTTTAATCTTGGTTTTTATCTTTTTTCAACTCTACTAAAAATGCAATCCAGAGCAACAACTGCTACTAGTATAGTAGTATACCTTTTATACTTCAATTAATTTATGTTGTTCCCCATGAAAGAAACTTACTATTCTGAATTCCCAAAGCATTCATATTGTACCCAAAAAACACTCTGAAGGATTGCATAGCAGATTTTGTTTTTTTAAATGGTTTTCATTTACTTTGTTCTCCATTGTTTGTAAAGTTATTTTAGGAGCTGGAAATTACATTTTCCCCTGCTAATTTTGTCTTTTACCATCTGGCAAACAATGGTTTTTATAGTTTTAATATAAATAGATCTGAAATTATCATGGCTTTTGTTGTTGTTGTTCAATAAATTCAACTTGTATACAGCCCAGTATCCTGCCCTTTAAATTTCTCTTTTGGATGCATGGGCACAAGCCCACCAGTCTAGAGAGGAGAACCTACAAGCTCACTGGAGCCAAACAGGATATAGACCTGACACATCTTTCCCATCAAACAAGAATGAGGTCCAAATGACTCTATGACCTGTCAAGCAAAACAACAACATTTTGGTTCTAACACCTTCACTTCTTTTTTAACATACTAAGCACTGGTAGGTTGTCATACTCACCCATGGCAGTGTTGTAGGCATTAGGAAAACTTTTGTCAGTTCTCTGTCTCATGAAGACCCAGCTGTTGTTCTCAAATTTGCATTCTATAATTTTGTTGTCATACTGTTTTAGCTCTTTTGTCACCTGTTTCAAAAAAGAATTGAAGAAAATATTTAAATCATTTGAAAGGCTTTCTGCTTTTTTGCTTCCACTATGTGACAGACACATTCGGAAATGCCAAAAATACCTCAGTAACTCTTCGTGCAGAGCTCTTTGTCATCTGAAGTATCTAATCAAGCCTAAAGATACGTTGTACACTCCCCCTTGTACACATGCTCATTTATCTGACATTTTATAAATAGTTGTGAAAACCACGTCAATATATAGCAATTAAAAGAAACTAAGCAGAAACCAGCCACTTCTGGGCCAAATGCAAATATGTTACCATGGGGACCAATGCCTTCAATATTGTCTGTGTCTCTATGGCTTTCAGAAATTGAATATACTGCCTAGGTTTCATCAACTTTCAGAAAGGTCTCACCATCTAAATTCCTGTGTCAAACCTAAGAAATTCCCTTTATTAGTTAAAAGAAAAAGTTACACATCAAAAGGAAAAACACTAGGATGAAATTCAGGTAATGTGCATCCTAAATATTTTACTTTTCAAGCAGTGACAATTAACTCAAAATCTAACCTTTAGGCTATTTATCCTTTCCATCTCCAAACTAGTATAAATTTAGAGATGAAGCTACTTTTCACTTCAGTTGGAGGGCTTTTTGGCTTCTTCACCTCAGATCATTGAATATGGATATTCTATCAAAGCTAACAAGTATCCATGGTAACTATAGAACTTTTTAAAAGATATTTCACTGGGTTGTGAGAATGGTTTTCATAAATAGGAACCCAAGCTTATCTTTGCAGTTTTCAAATCAAATGCCAGTCATGGTAATATTTTAATTCTGTCCCCATCTTTCAAAGCTAACAACTTTTCCTCACAATATGGTAGATTGCAATCATTCAACTTCATTAGCATTATTTGAAATGCTCTCATTTTTCTACCCACATATTCACTACCACCTAGGAATATGAAGGGAAGCAAATTTTTAAAAGATGCTTTCAATTCATAGATTAGGCAGTAAATGTCTTCATAAAAACTTTCAAATTGTATTTCTTTTCCCTTAATGAGTATTACATTTAATTGTACTATTTGCATTTTCAACAAATCTGACAGGTCTAATTCATACTATGGTTCCAAAACTAGACCTGCCAAAAAAAGTGATGCTCCACTTAGCAAACTTGCTAAATTTATTCTCCAATATTCATTATTCTAGTCTCAACTCCATTGCCTTGCTTCCTAGGGACCCACCTCTTTTTTTTGAGGGGGGGGCCAAGGGTCTCACTCTCTCACCTGGGCTAGAGTGCAGTCAGTTGTTTTACTTTTGATACATTATCTACACCCAAGTATTAGGCAATTCATTCAGTTAGGTAACCACATTTGTGTTACACCATATGTAAAATATAACAGAAATAAGTTTTTAAACCTTTCAGTCTCCATTTTCTAATTTCTAAAATGGGGAACAGAGTTCCTAATTTACTGGGTCACTGGGAAGAATAATAAAGAAAAGTGACTGACACACAGTAGATAATCAGTAAAACTGAAACTGAATATAAAATTAGGCAATGAAACATTGCTTTATAAAAATTGTGGTTAAAAAAAAACCAACAAATTTACCATCTTAATCATTTTTTAAGTGTACTGTTCAGTAATGTTAAGTATATTTAGACTATTATGCAACAGATCTCTAGAATTTTTTCAACTTGCAACACTGAAATTCTATATCCACTAACCCCTAATTCTCCCCTCCTCCCAGACCTTGGTAACTACTTTTCTACTTTCTGTTTCTATGACTCTGATTTACTGTAGATACTTCAAATGAGTATTTGTCACACAGTATTTGTCCTTTTGTGTCTTGCTTATTTCACTTAACATAATACCCTTGAGGTTCATCCATATTGTAGCATGTTTTTTAAGGCTGCATAATATTCCATGGTATGTATAAACAACACTTTCTTTAGCCATTTATCTGTCGATGGACATTTGAGTTGCCTCCATCTTTTGGATAATGCTGCAATGAACATGGGTGTGCAAATATCTCTAAGATCCTGCTTTAAATTCTTTTAGGTACATACCCAGAAGTGAGATCATTGGATTATATGGTAATTCTATTTTTAATTTTTTGAGGAACCTCCAAATGGTTTTCCATAATGGCTGTACCATTTTACATTCTTATCAATAGTGCACAGGGGTTCCAACTTATCCCCATCCTCATTAACACTTGTTATTTTCTGGAGGTTTTTGGTGGTCATCCTGGCAGGTGTCAGATGATATTTCATTGTGGTTTCAATTTGTATTTCCCTAATAATTGGTAATACTATGTTTTCATGTGCTTACTGGTTGTATATCTTCTTCAGAGAAATATCTATTCAATTCCTTTGCCCATTTTAAAATAAGGTTATTTATATTTTTTGTTGTTGAGATATAGAAGTTCCTTATATATTCTAGATATTATGATCTTATCAGGTTGCCTTTTCACTGTTGCTTGGTTCCTTTAAAGTATAGAAGTTCTTAAGTCTGATGTAGTCTATTTTTGATTTAGTTGTCTGTGATTTTGGTATCATATCCAAGAAATCATTATCAAATCCGAGGTCTTAAAGATTTCCCTGATGTTTTCTTCTAGTAGTTTAACAGTTTTAGGTCTTACATTTAGGTCTTTAAGCTATTTTTAGTTAATTTTATGGTATAACATAAAGGTCCCATTTCATTTCTTTTGCATGTGGATACCGTTTTTCCAACACCATTTGTTGAAGAGATTGTCCTTCCCATTGTGTGGTCTTGGTACCCTTGTGGAAAATCATTTGGCCATGCACACAAAGATTTATTTCTGAGCTCTCTATTTTACACCATTGGTCTATATATCTATCTTTATGCCAGTAACTAAGTATAATTCCTTAATACTGTTATTTTGTTGTAAGTTTTAAAATCAGGTAAGTGTGAGGGCTACAGTTCTGTCCTTTCTCAAGATTGTTTTGGCTATTCAAGGTTCCTTGAGATTCCATAGGAATTTTAGGATAATTTTTCTATTTCTGAAAAAAATACCATTGGGTTTGTGATACAGATTGCATGAATCTGTAGATAGATTTTGGTATTACAGCTATTTTAACAATATTAAATCTTCCAATCCACAAGTGTAGAATGTCTTTTAATTTGTTGGTATTTTCTTTGATTTCTTTTCAGCAAGAAACAGTAAAAAAAAAAACTTTACATGTAAATTTACTAAAGAAACCATAATGACATAGAAAGGTACACTTTGAAAACAGCTGTCAAGAAAAGTATATCATACACATTTTATAAGAATGGCTTGCTAGTCGATGTGTAGTCTGTACTTTTACTGACTAGCAACTAGCATTTTTATCATATGGTTTGTCATTCTTATGTTCTCAGTTTCAGAATTGATATAAATTATGTGTTACTCAATCTGACTACAGCAATTAAGCAGTATTATTAACTATCTGTATATCTGGTTGACCATGCATTAAAAATCCAGGGCCGGTGCGGTGGCTCACGCCTATAATCCTAGCACTCTGAGAGGCTGAGGCGGGCGGATCGCTCAAGGTCAGGAGTTCGAAACCAGCCTGAGCAAGAGTGAGAACCCATCTCTACTAAAAATAGAAGGAAATTAATTGGCCAACTAAAAATATATAGAAAAAATTAGCCGGGCATGGTAGTGCATGCCTGTAGTCCTGGCTACTCAGGAGGCTGAGACAGAAGGATTGCTTTAGCCCAGGATTTGAGATTGCTGTGAGCTAGGCTGACACCATGGCACTCTAGCCCAGGCAACAGAGCAAGACTCTGTCTCAAAAAAAAAAACAAAAAAAGAACCAGGAAATACAGCCTTCCAGAAAATGCATGCATCTGCCATTACTAACATCAATGTATTTCCATGTTCAACATCTTTCTTCATTGATCACGCTGGTTATATTCCCAAGAAAGGCACACTGCAAAGTACCCATTTGGTTAAGTGGTAAAATATATTTAACCAGTAAAAACAATATCTCCCATATGAGTACAAACCAAAGAGTTTCCATTAATGATCAGATTAAAAGAATGACTAGCATACAGGAGAAGAGTTTACTTCTAGTATCCAAATTCTAATTTGTTATTATGACAATAATCATCAGCAGCCAATTATATATTATTATTTAATAAAACAGGACCCTGTTAGGTCTTCTATAATCAACTCTATCCTATCTGAAACTCAAAAAGTTTCAGATTCTGGAGCATTTTTTACTTTGGATTTTTTAATTTGCAATGCTCAACCTTTCTTGCCTTCACCCAGCTTCCACAAATATAGTATATATTACTTATCATGTTATATTTATCAACTCTAAAAATGTAACATTGGTACAATACAATTAACTAAACCACAGACTCTAGTCAGACTTCTTCAGACTTCTAGTTTGAGCTAATGAGGGTTTGAAAGTAAAAAGAATAAAATTTTTGTAACTCAGGATTTCACATCTGTATCCATAATTACATTGAATTAATGAGGTTTTATTGGTTTTAAAAAATAAAGAGCAAGACACAGTATATTTTATATTGATAAACACTTTTTTCATGTATTCATCTTACTGAGTTCCATACTTTTATATTATTTGAATCTACCAATAATCTGGGGTTAATAGACTGTCAGATGAAACCTGATCTAGTACCTCTGCAGATTTTAAATTAGCAGCTCAAAGATAACATCTGGAATGAGGGGCTCAAAACAGCATCAGGTAGAACTTCAGTTGCTCTATTCTGCCAGTGTTTTACAGAATACTTTTTATATCCTAAGTGCTGAGCACACTAAGTCACAAAAGGCACACAATCAGTGTTGGCTGAATTGACCTGCACAAAGTGGGCAAAGATGCATTTCTATTTCCAGTTATGGGACAGAAGCCTCTACAATTTATTGTCCTTGGTGAGACATTACTTTTGATATCAAGAGCTCATCTTCTTTTACAGAGAGACTGAACAAAGGCTTGGGAGAGGGTGATTTTTCTGAACTAATTTGCTCAGAAAATACTTTAAAATAACAAATATC